GCGCGTGGACAGCCTCGTGGGCGCTGGCCCCACCAACAAGCTGCTGTGGATCGGGCTGCAGCGGCAGGCCCGGCAATGCCAGCAGCAGCGCCCGCTGCGCGGCTTCACGTGGACCACGGGAGACCAGGACACGGCCTTCACCAACTGGGGCCAGGCTGCCCAGTTAGGGCCCTGCCCGGCCCAGCGCTGTGTGGCCCTTGAGGCGAGTGGTGAGCATCGCTGGAAAGAAGGCTCGTGCACGCTGCCCGTGGATGGCTACCTATGCCAGTTTGGCTTCGAGGGGGCCTGCCCGGCGTTGCCAGAAGAAGCTGGCCAGGCCGGCCCAGCTGTCTACACCACCCCCTTTCACCTGGTCTCCACCGAGTTCGAGTGGCTGCCCTTTGGTTCTGTGGCTGCCGTGCAGTGCCAGGCTGGCAGGGGAGCCTCTTTGCTCTGCGTGAATCAGCCTGAGGGTGGTGTGGGCTGGTCCCAGACTGGGCCCCTCTGCCCAGGGACTGGCTGTGGCCCAGACAATGGGGGCTGTGATCACGAGTGTGTGGAGGAGGAGGATGGTCGTGTGTCCTGCCGCTGCTCCGAGGGCTTCCGACTGGCAGCAGATGGGCACAGTTGTGAGGACCCTTGCGCTCAAGCCCCTTGTGAGCAACAGTGTGAGCCTGGTGGGCCACAAGGCTACAGCTGCCACTGTCGCCTGGGCTTCCGACCAGCAGAGGATGAGCCCCACCGCTGTGTGGACACGGATGAGTGCCAGATCGCTGGTGTGTGCCAGCAGATGTGTGTCAACTATGTTGGTGGCTTCGAGTGCTATTGCAGTGAGGGTCATGAGCTTGAGGCGGATGGCATCAGCTGCAGTCCCGCAGGGGCCATGGGCGCCAGGGCTTCCCAGGACCTTGGTGATGAACTGCTGGATGATGGGGAGGAAGAGGATGAAGATGAGGCCTGGGAGGTCTTCGATGGTGGCTGGACAGAGATGCCTGGGATCATGTGGATGGAGCCTACACAGCCTCCAGATTTCGGCCTGGCCTATAGACCCAGCTTCCCAGAGAACCGAGAGCCCAGGAGACCCTACCCTGAGCCCACCTGGCCACCCCCACTCAGTGCCCCTAGGGTTCCCTACCAATCCTCCGTGCTCTCTGCCACTGGGCCCATGGTAGTTTCTGCTACACGCCCCACACTGCCTTCTGCCCGCCAGACCCCTATTATCTCTGCCACATACCCACCCCTGAGCCCTGCCCGTCAGCCCCCCTTGGTCCCTGCCACACGCCCTGCTGTGCCCCCTGACCACCAGCTCCCCATGATTGAGACCAACTATCCAGATCTGCCCACTGCCCACCGGCCCCGAATTAACTCTGTCACTTACCCAGCACAGCCCCCTGCCCATCAGCCTCCCATGTTCTCAGCCAAATATCCCAAACTGTTC